CTCTCTCTCTCTCTCTCCCCTTTCACGTCTACCTTGATCTGTCCTGGCAAAATAAAGGCAAACCCCCCCCCCTCCCAAAAAAATATATTTGGTACATCATGATACGAGGGACTAAAGTGGATATCAGCACTTAAAAGGCATTTTTAACGTGATGGTAGCTGTAAAGAAACAGTTGTTAGTGAATTCTGTCAGACATGAATTATTGATATGCCTAAATTATACAACATAGAGATCTGCAGCCAAAACACCTACATACTGTACCTGCTCTGTGCTGATGGGAGAGTATACTGAATACTCATGCACATTTATTACACACAAGTTTCATCTTCATTTCTTGCTGCTTAGATATACCACTTCTACAATGTACTGATACTGATCAAAGCTTCAATTTCTTGTCTGCTCATCAGCTGAAAGCAGTTTGATTTTGCACTCTTATCTTTCACTGTTCAACATGTGTTTGTGTGTCTTTGTGTGTCGGCACTAACTGTGACAGCCTCGATGTCGCTTGTGTTGCCTGCACTAACCTGAACCTGTTGACTTGCCTTGACCTTCTTTACCACAACTTTTTGTCCTTGTTTTCTTTTTTTCCTCCTCCTGCTGTCCTTCTCGTCTGCTCTCCTTCATTCCTTGTTTTTCACACATGTAGCTATACATAATGTGACAGGTTCTTTTTTGTGCATGCTGCCCTCAGGAGCCATTGGTAGGTCAGCTATATCTGATATATATGTGGTGATGTAAAGGAGGCTTTATTGAATGATTGATTGGAGGACAACATGGCCGTACTGGTTAGCCTGTTTTAGCCAGTTAACTACAAATTATGCCATCCAGGCAGCTATTTATTTTCATTCATACACCAGAAATATGCATCACAGTGAATCCTTAGTTTCCAGGTGGGTTTAGTATTAGTATTTGCTTTATTTAGTTTATTATTTTAGTTAGTAATTGTATTCTTTTGTGAGGGAGTAGACAGAAAAATGAGAGAGAGAGAGAGAGAGAGAGACAGTGAAACGAAACAAAATGTTCCTGACCAAACTGAGGATGCTGCAAATTAGACTGACAGTGCCACCAGGGTGCCACAAAATATTATAGAATTTGCCTGTCATGAACTATTAAATGAATCGCCAACTACTTTAATAATCGATTGATTGTTTTGAGTAATGTTTTAAGAAAATGTGAATACTTTAGTCCTCTATGACAGTAAACTGAATATCTTCTGGTTGTGGATAAAACAAGCGTCCCCTTGGGCTTTGGGAAACGGTGATCAGCATTTTTCACAATGTCCTGACATTTTAGGGAACAAACAAATGATTGATAGATTAATTAAAATAACGTGAGGTGCAGCCCTAATGGATAATGAAAACTCTCTCTTATGTATCCAAGGAAGCTCTGACATTCAATATTTGAATCTGAAGCTCAATAAGATCCAGAATATGGATGATATTGAAATATCAATATATATTGCAGATGTGATAGTTTCTTTCCTGAGAAAAGGGGCTTTAAAAACACTCCTTGCTCACAATTGTATTATATGACACTAATGTTACTCTGATGGAGAGTAAAGAGGACTAAATGTTCACTGCAATGCAGTTCCCCTCTCTAACAAGCTGCGAGTTGTGTTGGGTTGATTTCTAACCATTGTGTACTAGAAAGAGACAGTAGTTGGTCAGCAGTAATGTAAGTATATGAGATGTGCAGGTAATGAGCTTGAACTGCTACTGTATGGTCCTTTAAAGGTGCCAATGTAGAGGTACATTCAGCCTGTGGGAGAAAACTCACTGATTATTGTGTCATCCACTGAAGACCGTATGATAGACATTCACTTTGGAGCTTTCAGCCCATTGTCTGTTCATCTCACGTCTGTGTTTGATCATGTCTGCCTGTCTGCAATCACATTAATGTGTAAGTCATTTCAACACTGTGTGAGCATGCCTTGTGCATGTACATGTGTGCATACATGTGCATACTTTATGTGTGTGTAGGTGCAGGCCGCTCAGATAGCTCGGGGAAGCGGGACGAAGACCAGCAGTCAATGCTCTCACTGTAAGCCTGCCTGCCTGCTTATATAAACCCCAGTGCCCGGACTCAGTAGTGAGGGGACTCCCTGTAGGTTATCCCTGCACAGATCACACCTTTATCAGCCCCCATAAACAGGTCTTTATTGAACTACAACCGTATTTCCACTGCAAGGTACAGCTTGACTTCTTACTTTTGGTGCCTCTACTTCATTTTCCAATGTAGATAGTACTGGATAGTAGCTGATCGTCATAGTGACATAATTTGGGAACAACCAGGAAACTACACACGGGAGCTTTACTTTGGTCTTGAAAAGCTGCAGCCAGACAAACTGCAACCTACACTGTACATTTACTGCCAGATTGACACCTCACTGCTCACCTTTTCCTCTGCTCCACCCCTCTCTCTCTCTTTTTCACACATCCACACACTAACTATGCACACAATAGGGAGCTACTCTTATAAGAGAGGAGATGAAGAGATGATGTTCTGGATTCGTCTGCACTTCGTCAGTTGACCTTGGTGTGGTTTTGTGGGCTGCTATTTTTGAGGGGAATAAAAAAATTGTGGTTGCTTTTGATGGTAGCTTTGTTGTTTAAAAATGCAGGGTTTGTGCAGGATGTCCTGTGTCGTGCAACCAATCAGTGGTCTCCAATAGTGTCACGTCACCTTTTTGTATCAGCTCAGCTCGTTTGGAATCGTTTTTTGGTACAAAAAATGTACCAGGCACTATATCCATAATGGAAAAACAGTGAGTGAAGTCGAGCCGTACCCTGCGGTGTAGAGTAGTGTTTCACTGTGTATTGTAGCTGTGTGATAAAAATATTCACAAAACTTATCAAAAATATCCACACAAATTGCAACTACTATCTGAACAATCTACTAATTTTGCAAGTTTATTTAAGTCTATTCAGTAAATGTAGTACAGTATTTGAGAAACTAAACTAACAACATATTCAAGATCTATCAGAATCAGGAACCTACACACACATACACAGAGAACAGGAAGATATGGTGTCAGTTGTGGTAAAGCTGATCTTAATTGTGGTCACAAATCTTGTATATGATAGTCATAAAACGCTTCATGAAGAAGTAATGACTATCATATACAAGATTCATGTCGTGTGTGTGTGACCTCCTCTCTTCTTGCATTTTCTGACTTGTATTTGTGTTCTTCATCCATACCACATTTATCATTGCTTCATGCTGATATCATGACAGTAATATAGCACATTTGGAAATAATTTCACTGTCAGTATAATAGAAACTCAGGAGACAGAAAAAATTAAAATAAATGCTTTCATGTGTCTGTTGCTGTTTTAAATCACAATGAAATAAGTTATAAGATGTGATATGCTGCTGGCAGGAAAAAGGAATATTTGCAGCTGCTGCGATTGTAGTCAAGCTTTCTGATTTTTGTTTTATTTGGTCGAGTTGGGAATTTTAAAGCTTTAGGGCACAGTCACATATACGCAAAATCAACAGTTCCCCCCAATCATTCTATGCGAGTGAAGAAGATAATTAAACCTTCTCTTCCAGTGGAAAAACATCTTTGCTTCGTGTGGAGTTCAAATCTGGTTAACTTTGATCAGCACAGCCTGTGGTAGACCTCTAAAACCGACTACGAACCAGAAAACTGATTTCTGTGTGCCGCACATCCTTCACTGCCCACATTTCGAGGTAGGCAAAGGTCACTCGCCTGCAGTAGCGTATGTGTGACTGTGTCCTGAAGCAGTTCTCCAGTAGTTTAGTATTGCATTTCCGTAATGTCGAATGACTCACAAGAGATCGATTGAAATAAATGTGGTCAAAATCAAAGCAGCAGAGATGCTACTTTCCCCATCATTTCCCAAGGCATCATTTCATTAGACCCTCCCTCCCCTGTTAAACGCACATAACAGAATTCAGCAGAAGACATAAGAGACAAGATTTTAGACATTAAGCGCGATTGTATGCCGTCCGGAGAAGACAACATAAGTGAAAACATCCATGTGGGTGGACAAAGAGGGGCTTTGATAAATATATACCTGTAGTGTGTAAACCAAGCTGCAGACATCATCAGGTGTTTTCTCAGACTTGAAGAAGACATACGGTACACAACCGTTAATAGTACTCCCAATGACTAGTAAAATCACCCGAGTTTATTTGTCCTAAAATTAGACATTATCCTTGGTAGCCTCCTTTGCTAACCGGTTTTGGATAGTAAAACCGTGAAAGTGAGATGTTCATCTTGCAAAGCCAGTCAGTTACTAAATCTGAAATAATCACAAAATTATCACTGAAAATAAGTAATATTGTTTCTGCAGAGTTCAGACAATATTATGATTATCAACTTACAGGACTGTTTCTAAAGAAGAGATAAACGACTGTCACATTATAGCTGTGACAGTGTTGAAAACGTCTTGTTTTTTTTTTTCTAATGGATCATATGCTCCCTCCATACACATGCCCTGTCCATTTGAATACAATTATCAGATACTCCAGTCTGATTAGATTGTATGACTGTGTATTGCCTTGTTTGTTTAACTACCATTTGTTGGTGAAACAGTTTATTTTCTTTTATGTTGTAACCGGTTGGCTGATTAAATATGTGATTTTTCTTTATCTCTCATTTCGTTTGCATGTGTCTTGATACTTGTTCAAATTCATCCTGGCAATATCACTTGACTTGTGCCATGACTTTTGATCCTACACATTTTGCCATGGTAACCATATCATTCCTGTCCCCCCTCCTCCCCGCCCACATCCTCGTCCTCTGTCTTTCGTCTGACTCGCCCGAATAAAAGTTCCCATGATGCACGGTGCCACCACCTCCACTGTTTCGTCGGCTTCGACCCCAGTCACCAATGTTCCTTTCGCTGAATCTGCCGCCTCGAATCAGGTTTGCTCTTTTATTTCAGTTCTCTTTTATTTTAGCTCAAGAGGTTCTGAGTCCTGTTCATAGTCTTCTTTCATCAGGTTAAAGAAACACCTGCCTGTAGTGTCAGATGTATTATGTTCGCATTTCATCCGTCTTCACTTTTCAGTCTGTTGTGACGTGAGCAAATGAAAACAGAATTTATTCTGAGAGGAATCTCAAAATAGGTAACTGTTTTCATCTAAAAGTTGTAGTTTGGTGTAGAACCACCGTCTGTCACAGTCTTCTACGTCTATGGACATACAGTTTGTGGTCTGGTATCGACAACCTTCCCTCACTTAAATGCTTTTCGTCTTCTTTTTACGAATTTCCCCTTCACATACAGTCTTTATTTGCCTTCTATCACATAGATTGGGCCTCTGGCTGAGCAATATAGGAAAACATACTTAGTTTCTATAATTTGTATTTACTTTGAGGAGCTTAAGGAACCACCGATCATATTTCATTGCAACATGGTTTTGCAATGAAATGGAGAGTTTCACTGTCCTATTATGGCGTGAGTGTTTTTTATTTATTTACCTGGAATACATTTTTTAAAAATTTATTTAAAAAAAAGAACATTTAGAAGGAAAATCCTATTCCACATAATTTATCAGCTTTTTTTTAACTGTCAAATCTTGTACAGCTCTGGTAATATAATGGCTGCTGGCAGCTATTTTCCATGATAGTTATTCAGAATACATTGCAGCTTGCAAAGTGGTAGTTATTTGACTTTTATTCTAAGAAAAAAATGTCTTTATTCTAAATATTTTGCAGAGTCCTCTACTGCAGGTTACTATTTTGAAGATCTTTGTATCATTGGAAATTCACTGTTCCTCCTCTCACCCCTCCCTTTCTCTCTTCCAGTAGACCCCTCTGAGCTTCTGACTCCTGATCCAGTGGAGCTTCAGTGCGTTCCCATGGAAACCCATTTCTGTCCCGTCCCCAAACTGCTGGTGGCGGCTCCAGTGGCGCTAAACTCAGTAAGCCTTTCCCGAAACCCCAGTTAAAGTCCCTGAAGCCTGCGCACTACCAGGGTGGTCAACTTTCTGAATGCAGCAAACATGTGCCTCACCTACAGTGCACACTGACTGAGTGGCAATGTGAAACTTCTTAATAAGATAGAATGAAAGTAGGAAAGCTGCGATGGTTCACGCAATACAAGCCTGGACGTATTACTGTTGCTTTAAAGCAGCCATCCTGATGCATACTGACTTGATCAGGCTGAGCAATAGAGCTCCCTCATTCTTACAGCCATACATGCCAACACCTTAAAAGTGCACACACACACACAACTACACACACACAGCGACATACACACACATTTAAGACTACATGCCCTTTATGGGTTGGAGCCATCACATGAGGCGATCCAACACATTTGACTGTTCCAAAGTCAGAAACTCTGAAAAGCTAATTCTGGAAATTCAGACCAGCTGCTGGTCTACAAGCAGTACATGTTGTCAAAATGAAAGAGTGTTTCATATCTTGTCATGTTTACGTTTCAAGATGGCTAAAAATGTAATATTTGTGTTGTACTACGTCTACCATTCAGTTTGTTCTCATGGTCTCATCTTGCCTGATGAAACGTCAATGAGTTGTTGTTAATTTGTTTGTGCCTTTGATTTATCTGCTCAGCTGCAGAGGAGACTACGTTTCCCAAAAGAATTCAAAACACTTAATAGCATACATTGAAAGATTTTCTTGTTTGCGATCAAAGGCAATATCTGTTGTTACAAAAATACTGTGTATTAGCCTGTTATTGTAAAAAAAAAATCTAGTAATTACAGTGATTGCAACTTTAAATTTATATTGTTTCGTAAATGTTAAGTATGATTGAAAAGATACAAATCTACAGAGTGACATACAATTAGGATTCAGTCACTTCTACACTAAAGGGGCTGAGTTGAGAGATTTTTAAGAATGTGGCTCTCAATTTCTTGATTTAAGAAACAAACTGCCTTAAAGCAGGTGAGGTCATTGTTCTCTATGTGAAGGCCTGTCTCTGTAAAACTCTACCAGTCATAAACCAGACAGCTGAAATTATTAAAACTGTTGAATCTGAGTGATGAGGTATCTTTAGCCATGATGTCTGATCAGTGATTGTTTCGTGGTTGTGAAGGGTGATTGTCTAATGATTGAAAAGGAAGATTTTTGTTTGTCCTGTTTCCTCCATGATTTGATATCCAAACATGGTGTAAAAGAATGACAATCTACAGGCGGACTCATGTTGATTTGTTATTACAGCCCTGCCACAAAACAATATGTCTGAGGGTCAGATCTAAGATTACAGACTTTTATAATTGGCATCTCTCAAACTTTTACATCTGATGTCAGAGTTATTGCACAAGATGGAAGCAGGATTTGTTTTCTGATGTTGTGCCTAAAGTCTGTGTGCCAAGTGGTGGTATATGCAAGGAGATGCCCCATTTAATGCAATACATGAATAATTCCTCCAAATAAGTATATCCATCTCAAACACAGAGATGTATTTTAAAAAGGCAGTTTCTTTGTGTAATTGTCTCCTTTAATAATCCAAAAGCCGATTGAATAAGTGGCACAAGATTTTTATGTTTTATGGCTCTTCAGGGAGAAAGCTTAGAACTTGAAAATGTCCTGTCTGACTTTATAATGTGTCGTTTTTTCTACTGATGTGCCCTTTTTGTCAAAAGCCAGAGTCTGAATATGGCAGCCACAGTTGTTATAACCAGAACTGAGTTATGGTAAAGCCAGGAGATGGGGGAATAAATCACTCGTTTGATGTCTGATGGTAAAAAAATAAATAATTATAAACCAGTTGGATGTCCAAATGTCTGTAAGGAACCTCTCTGTAGGCGTACAAAATTGAACATAACAGCTTTGGAAACTGGACTGAAATCACTTTTATCCAAATTCAAATGTGCCTCTTTCAAGTCTCCTCAAACCACCACTGTCAATACACTGTAAGAACAGACCAGTGCTCAAAGATAGATGTGTTATTTGGTACATTATTATAATAGTAAATCACAATCACACACAATCTGTAGTTTCTTCTCTTGAGACAGCTGTGCTGTCTGATCGTTATGTAAAGAAATAAATCAGTGAGTTGTGTGCATACATAAGTGTGTTGAAAGAGAAAATGAATCACACATTTGGTTAGTTGTAAATGCTGCAGATATTAAGGCATCTCCCACTGAGCATTATTCATTTTAAATAATGTTATTGTGTCGTGAATGTATCTAATGCAAAAACTCAACACATGCCCCTCTAAAAGACAGGCATGTTGAAATGTAATGATTCACTATATATAGACTATTTCTGAGGTCACATAGGTACCATGCTGATGCTGTGTTAAGACATATTAAAGTATGTGTATTGTTATATAGATTTATATTTAATGTCAATGGGTGGTGTGACTACTTTTAGAAATGTCTTTCACTCTCAGAAAGGGTAGAGCAGAATTGTACTTTTTGAAGTACAAATGTACACCATACGTACATAAGTACCATAAGTACATTACAGTACCATCTCTTGTTAGTCCGTTTTTTCCCCCCTACTTTTGAAAGTACCCAAAAAAAAAAAACAATGGTAAATATAAACATTTGGAAAAAGTGAGAAAATCAGCATGTTATGCTTTTTTTTTAGCATTTTGTTCCTTTTTCACATGACGTGGATTGGCCGGTTCTCCCCTGTACTGAAGTCCTTGTTTCTGTTAAAGAAAAACTTTGGTATTTTTCCGCCTGAACCCTATTTTCCCATGTTTTTGTGTCTAAGTAACTAAGGGAGACAACAATTTTTGAAATTGGTCTAGTATGGAGTGAGGGGGCTACAGCCACAAAACTGGCTACAACGTAATCCTTATGGGAAATTGCGCACCGTCAAAGTTGTTGTTTTTGCCACTTACAGTCTCAGATATTATTATAGGTGTCTGACAACAATATAGAAAGGACCCTATAGAAATACACCTTTTGGTGAAAGAGTCAGATCCTTTTTATTTCACCAGAAACAGCAGTTATATCACTATGTTCAAAGTGACCAGACCACATTGTCTTTCCACTGTTCAAACAGTGAAAATAAGTCTAGTTTGGTAGAATACACTCTTAATTAACTATAGAGTTATATGTGAAAATATCAGGAGTGGAGTAAGAGGGAGATCGGGAGAGGAATATTTTAACATCTAATTGTTTAATAATAACAATCGGAGCCTATCAGTGGCAAATACAAGCATGTTTAGTGGTTGTACATTAATGGTTCCCAATTGACCATAAGGATTACGTTGCAGCCGTCTCACTCCATACTGGTCTCACTTGGACACAGAAACATAGGAAAATATAGTCTAAGTTTAAAAATATCAAAGTTATCCTTTAACTCCCAGTCTTGGTCTGGGGAGGCTGTATACAGACGTAACAGTGTACACAGGCCATCCAGTAGGAGATGCTAGTGCTGCAACATGGATGTAATCGGCTTCCCACCATTAACACTGCAAACTGTGTTCAATGAAGGCAAGTTGGAAGCAGCACCTCCTGGGATTGACCCTGAGATTGGGTGGATTAATGTGTTTTTCCCTGTTACAACCTGGGTGCCCCAATCAATGTGCTACCTTAACTGTAGCAATTGTACCTTAAGTTCACGTTGAATTGGTATAAATGTGTCCCTTAAAGGAACAGTACGCTTATTCGCTTTCTTTCCAAGTTAGAAGAGAGATTGATACTGCTCTTATGTGTTTGTAGTGTGTGAGTGTGTGATTTGAAGCTCGAACCAGCAACCAATTAGCTTAGCACAAAGACTGGAACCAGAGACAGCTACTCTGGAATTGTCTAAATTACTAATCAACACTTCTTAAGCTCACTAGTTAATAGAATTAATTGTATCTTGTTTGTTTAATCAGAACACAGGAAAGTAAAAATAACAGTTTGTAGCTTCAGTGTGAGTTCCGTATTGGAACTGTGTCTGGGAGCAGTAACATTCTAGAACCTTCACGGTGAGGTTGCCAGGCAACCTTCAGTAGAAGTACTGGGTGTTTATCTAATTTAGTCTGCCTAATTTATTAATTTATGGGCCAATGATAAGTAATTGTTATAAACACATAACATTAACCAAAAAATCGTATATATATATAGATACGGATCCCTTACATCAGTTTGTTTCCAGTCTTTATGTTAAGCTAAGATAACTGTCTCCTGGCTCAAGCGTCATATTTACCACACAGACATGAGAGTGATATCAGTCTTCTATCTAACCCTCAAAATAATTCTTTCCAAAAAATATGAAGTATATAAATTTATTTAAAAAATCTTTTACTTGTTATCTACATGATGGATTAAATAGTACATAACCCATTATATGCCTGTTATAATACATCTGTAAAGAAATGTACTTTTTGGTATAGACACGTACTTCTCCTTTACCTTTTGAGTGTGTTGAGCAGCTACATTTTCTTTGAAGAATTTGAACAGAAATGTTCCTCTCCTACTCGATGAAATTAATTATTAGAATGTCCAGACAAATGAGTTTGTCTAAATCTTACAGCTTTGAAAGACTAGCTTTGTCCAGCCAAGAAAAACCCCCTCTCTCTAGCCTTCGTCTCCTCCCCCCTTTACATCATTATGCCTTCACTAACTGCTGTCCAGCTGGGAAAAAAAAACAGAATACTTGATTAATAAATTGTGCCTCTTGAGGGCATTTGAATTTTTAAGTACATTTCGATGTACACCGTGTATTGATGCACAAGAGCATGTTAGTTAGGGGATTTGTGGTGTGGTGCGAGAAAAATTAGTTCTTACCTCTTTCCCTTTCTCGTTTTCTTGCACTTGATTTCCTTTAGGCCTCATTGTATTTTTCCCATACAGTCATGAATCATTTTCTCTGGAATATGCAAAATGCTCTGATCATTGTGTCCAGTGACCAGATCCTTTAGCATGTGGACAGTTAATTCAGTCCTGAGCATACTTCTGTTGTCCGGGGCACAAACAAAGGGCCTTATTTCTCGATCACTGTATAAAGATGTGATAGCTGTGTATGAAAGTGACATGTATTAATGGTAAGTTAAGCTTTTTTTTTATCTGACATTAAAAAAAAAACACAGCATGAAAATAAAAAAACTCATTTATACATAGTTAATAGTTTGTGTAGACCAACAAGAAAAAATATATATGAAAATCATTTGTATACAATGATGGAGTCATTGGTAATAGTTGCTGTTGCTGTGGCAACAAAATGACAACATGGCTACCTTTCTATAATCCTAATTGTGAATTATTTCACATTCATTGAAATAACATACAACACTAACTTATTCAAAAAGGGAATGTCTTAGTTTGTCTTGTTATTGCGACGTGATTAAATATTTTGTATGGAAAACATAAATCCTTGTAATATCCAAAGGTCCTTAGGGGAGATCAGGTGTTTATTTTGTTTTGTTTATTTGACCTTAATTGTTTGGTTTTTTGTTCTTGTACATGGTGTTTTTGAGAAATAAGAATGGACTTTGGCTTTTAAAAGCTAACACCTATCTGTCAGGGAGGTAAAGAGGCTTTTGGACTAATTGAAAGATCTTCATCTTTTTCTTTAAAATCTAAATAGTCAATAATCCTCACTGCTCACCTCCTGCAGACTGGACGGCCCTCGCTCAGTTTCCTCTGTACGTAGAGGTGAGCTTTCATTAGTGAGTTCTGTTTCAGTTTTGGCCAAGAAGGTGGTCCAAAGGCCTCTTCCTGCCCAGCTGTGCTGGGTGATGTCGATCCTTGCTGAGGTGTATACGAATGTGTGATGTTCACCTTGTTTGCACTTATGTACATAACTATGTCAAAATACTCAAAATTTATTTTGAATAAATATAGATAAAAGAGTTGATTAAAAAATCAAATCAATGTATTGTTAATGATATGAGTATGTCTATCATTTTATTACAGTATAAAAAGATTGCTTTGAGGGATCTGTCTTTTGTTTGTTTGCTAGAGCCCTGTTCTTTGCCAAGCATGACATTGCCCAGCTGTAAACCATGAATGGTTTGCTTTAAAAAAGCTTTTTTCTGTTGACTTAGTGGGACATTTTTGGTTCAGTGATATAATATCAAACGAGAGAGGTGGATTAGAAGAAATAGTCAGTCTGGAACATATGTAATAAGCCAGTACTAACCTGTAATGCTCATCATGAATACACAAGTGCAGGTGCAGGTGCAGGTGCAGTCTTCTCTCCAGTAATGCACCAAAATAAAGCACAGATTAGCTCCACCTGCAGGCTGAAAGGCAGCCAGGGAAAAAGGAGGAGTAGATATAAAAATCAGACTATAGAAGGACATGGATGTGAGATGTGTTCACAGGGTTTTAAATTCACCTTCATTTTATCATTTTGTGAAATGGGTTATTCTTTGCCTCTCTGTTGTCATTATCCAAAACAACAATAAATCTGAATTCTCCTCAGGATTTTAGTCCAAATTGCAAACAACCTGGTTTTCCGATGTTATTCTTGCAGCAGCAGCAACATCCGTACACAACGCTGTTCCTTCAGATTTGGACATGTGATGCTCTTCAATTGCTATTAAAGCCAGCGATTTTGTTGCCATGGCACTTGTCCTAGTGGTGGATTGACTGAGTCATTCTGGTGAATCGGTTCACAGCCCTCTGACTCCACATGTGGTGAAAAGTACATGTGGAGTGGACTTAACATACTGCGGGTTTCCAGTCACCAACAAGTGAATAAGATTGTGATTTTGTTTTGAAATTGATTCAATGTTACCATTATTTAAAACATTTCTGTTGTAATTGTGCCTTTATCATGCAAGGTGTAGTTTTCCTTTTTACGTTCTACATTTAGATTGACATAAAATAGCACATGTATTGAGTGTGTGTAAAACTTATCCCTTTATTTAAAATCCTTCATTGGTGACTCATTATTAAATTGGGTACAATGACTGACTGAATGGTAACCTGTGGAAGATGATGAGGGCCAAAGACTGTTCAGGACTAAGCCATATGAAAAACTCTCTCTGACACTCTAGGACAGACTTGAAAGTGACTGCTGTTTCTTAGTCATCTATCGTTTCACTCTGTTTTCTGCTTGTGGTGCTTGTATGTGCTGCTGTGCTACATGCCAATTTATTTTGCCGTGTATAGCTATTAAAAGTAAGTTACTGTGCCTATGATGAGTTCTGCGATTTCTGTTTGACCTTTAATAAAACTCATAATTGTGATCCTCTTGTGGTGTATTTTGTTGTCCATTATCACCTTAAAACAATCTTTTATTTCCTGAACTGTGAGGTTTTTTACCTGTGCATGACTTGTAAAAGGAGAGATTTTGGTATGATGATTATGTATTAGACTAAATCAAACAACTGTTTTTAAAAGTACTTTTTTACATCCTGAAAGAAAACAAAAACATGAAATATATCAACCTTAAAATATATATATTTAATACATTTTGTAGAGTAACTTAATAACATGTTGAAAATCAGTGTTTCACTGATTCTAAGTTTCAAGTCTGTTGCATCTGTAACCACGCTCAACTGTGATGTCACGGTGTACCCTGGAGTACGTGTCTTCATCACTGTAACAAGGTGACAGAAGGTAACCTGCTGGGGGACAGCAAAAACATGATTTCAGCTCATGTTTGAGAATGGCTACAATGGAGAGGTAAATTACATCACTTCCTGTGACACATCTGGTCACCGAAATGAGATGATTTAAACTTTTATAAATGAGGTAAATGCAGAATCACTAACAATTATCATTTAGCAATAGAGAGAAATACATTCACCACTTATCATAATATAATATAATAATACATTTGACGTTTGATTAGTACTCTGCCTTTATTTATTGGGGACACTAAAGATACAGACAGGAAACATAGAGAGAGAGAGAGAGAG